GGAGCCAAACAAATGCATTTACAATTTTTTCACATTTTCGTGCTCATTCTGTTCGTGCGCGGGACTCAAACCTAGAACATGTCCAGAAGCAGCCATGGGTGATGGGGTAGGGCCCCTCAACGAGGCCCTGGAATCTGTCACAACGGAACGAGTGGGCGTTCTCTCACACACTCCCACAGACCCAAGTCAATTTTTGAATTTTTTTAGGTTTAGCACGTGCTACGAGGTCGTACCTTTGATACAACATCCAGTGCTGGGACCTCCACAGCAAGCCATTTCCACAGCGCTGCACACCAAATCCAGGATACCCTCAGAAACCGGCAAAGATTACCACTCACGTTTCAGAGGTATATTATGGCACCGCAGGCCGCGCACCTGAGGGCCTTTCTGGAAGCCTTACTCGATCGGATAGAGCGAAACTGAGCACCCTGGCCTGCGAGCAGTTTTTAGTACTCCCGGGTCCAAAATCTCACCACCAGGCCGGGCTGATCAAAACGTCTGCCGGGTCTGCAGCCTACAAACGTGGATGTGCCGACACTGTGCTGTCGACGACATGTCCGGCAAGGCACCTTGCGTGAAAGCAAGGAACGCTTTTTTTTAGAAAGGAAGCTTCTTCTCCAAAATTTAAAAAATTTTGAAAATTATTCCTTCTGAAAAATCATCGCGTTCTTGACCTCGAAGCTGACTGCTGAATGCGATTAGGAAAGAAGATTCCTGAAGATGCACCAGACTGATTCTGGCAAGCCGTCTGTCGTCTGGATATGCACTGTTGTTCGTCATGGTCAGCAATCTTCTACGTTCGTCCTTTCGTTTTCCTGACCACGATGATGACAAGCAGCTCTCATGCTCAGGTTAGTGCTACTTGTATGTCTGGGCAAACAACACATCTGAGATGCACCCACTGACGTTATCGTACTGAAGAATGCAGCAAGGGTTCCTCGGATTCTCTTGATTTCGGAACAAATTTCCTTCACTTTCACCCTCTCCGTCTCTTCCCCATGCCCTCCATGCATGCACAATGGAGCTTGCATTTCAAATGACTTGAAATGTTGTTTTTATACTTTGGCAGTGCCTCTGCTACACTTTCATATAGAGTGAGGTCCTGTAAATAGGATCCAACATTGTTGGTGGTGTGCGTGGGGGGGGGGGGGGGGAGGGAGGTAGGTTTGCAGCCAGGATGTAGGAATGACACTTCTGCGCAGCAGGTGGCAATAGTCAGAACTGGTCGCTCTACAAATCCCATACCTGCCAACCTTTGCAAACCTGAGATCGAATGACATACCTAGGCATGAAAATGTATACAAATGTAGCTCGCGGTGAGGCATGGAACTAATGCACTTTTGGGTGCCTATTACCGCCCTCGATGTCGGGACGATCCCGGCCAAATCGAGATGGTTGTCAGGTATGAAATCCCAACCGAGAAAACCATTAAATTAAAAGATAAACTCGGCTGGAACGCCGCTTTTCTGGGAATAGAAAATATGTAATGCCACTTTCGGCTAGTCCTTTTTGCAAAAGTGATTCAGTGCCTCCCCAATGCTGTATGAGGGCCAGGACATAGCAACTTTCTGTATGCCGGGGGGGGGGGGGGGGGGGGTCATCGTCCGCAACATTGGTAGAGTTACGGTTACATTGTATATGTAGATACATGTGCATCAGGGATTCAGAGCACCTGGGGAGACGACATGAGACCAAAGTACCCAAAACGTTGTGAGTTTTGACCCCATATTGGGTAGTTTTACGTGATCTGTGTTCTGTGCAGCTCTTAATCACAGGCTTGCTCTGTTAAACCCAAACGTCTAGATCAACAATTCTATAGACCTTATTCGATAACATGATTTTTGGACTCGCCTCCAGGGATTTGTCGTAAGCTGGGGCACGCGTACGTGAAACAAGTGGCAAGAAAGGCCCAGTTCGTACAAGGGAGTAGTAAATTACCGGTATTTTTCTACTCCTATGTTCCCACGCCGAGTCCTCTGTGCACTGAGTGCAGGTCTCTTGCCGCTCCCTGGTTCCCGGGACCCCGGTTCACGTGATTGTGACGTTTATCGAATAAGGTCTATATGCAGACATGCATAAATCAACCCTTCCACAAGGACGGCTCAAACAGGCAGCCAAGGAGTGAACATTTCACTCCTGTGGCTAGGGGTGAAACGAAGGCCTCAATTTGCCAAATGAACCTTCTCCATCGAAACGAATGAAGGTGTCGAATGATTCTTTTACCAGTTCACAGTTCCTGTTCACGCACACTCCCGGAGGGGGGGCTACTATGCACTTGTAGTGACACTTACCGTAAGCCAAGTTGCACCTATGGAAGCCAAGTGGAACATGACTAGTTGACTGAACAGACTACAGTACAGTATACATGCACATGTATACAGTGAAGATCAGTGCATGGATGCCTGCCGTAATCGTATGTTGACCTTCGTTCGAATTGAAAAGAGAGGGTCGTTTCGAAAAAGAAAGAAAAAGCTCAATGGAAGTATGATGCTGCTGACAATTCAAGACTCACTGAAGCCGCCTTTCTGTATTGGATCATGCGCTCTAGGTTCATCCAATTGGATATGGACTCAAATCATTGTTACACCATTCTTGTTTGGTTAGTTATTCTACATCCCATAGCATGTACAATCCACCTTGTGAATAATGTACCTCGGGTTTACAAAACAACTCGCAAATAACGATACAATCTTCAGATCTAGTGACCATTTGATTGCATACTTCCAACCTCACGAGTAGCAACAATACACCAATAACGACACTTTTCTCATTCACAATCGAGGGTCAATATTGCAATCAAACAGGAGGGGCGAAAATCGACCACGGCTGAAAAGGCGTAAAGAAAATGTATGTCATGAGCTACATGGCAGAAGGAGGAAGTAGGTTTTCTAAAGCAAGAAACAGAGGTAAATGAAGCACCAGGTCTGTCCATGCAGTGGAAAGAATTATTGTATTGAAAGCCTGGACAGGCTCTTTACGTCAGCTTGCTACTATTATACCTACATTTGCTTTCTGCCTTTTTCATGCAGGATTCTGAAAGCTGGAGCAGCTCTGCTTACCTCGACCACTGAACTTCCAACTAACTTCCAACCAAGTTCAAGGCAGTATTATGATGAATCAAGCATGCTTGCCATCATTTCGTCATTGCAAAGGACATCGACAATATAGATTTGGTGCTAACTACTTCGTATGTATGATGTAGAGTGTGCTCTATGTATCTATACTACTGATTGGCCTACATTGTACTTATGTGGGCTGAGAGTAATTGATTGTGCTGTATGGCAGTTTACTTGCATGTTATAGATGTTCACATTGCACTCAGCTACTGAATTGCTTTCTGTTGCACTGGCCTACTGCGGCCCACTGCAAATAGATTGTAGTGGCATGGGCCATGCCATAATTATAGTAGTATACCGGTACTACACCAACAGTTTCACTGGTGCACTGTACTTACTGGTAGATCTACATCATGCACAGCCTTGTCACTGCTTTTCCCACTTTTTATTAATTTACTGTACTGTACACATTTTGGCACAGCTCTTCCACAGAGAGTTACTAGTATTTTCTTCTGCATACCTACTGTATACAGTGACGTGACTGGTAACATCTATGGCTGTGAAATCACAAATTTCTGGGTTGACAGCCTCGAACCTATACGATTTGTTTCTAAGAACTTGCTATAACTATCATTCTATTAAAGTATTCTACTGTGCAATTACGTAAAGTTTGGAACACCACTCTTCTGTGATTTGTATGTCAAATTATGAAATTCAGTGTGTGAGGTAAGCCCATGCATGGCATTCACTGCTATAGTATGACTCGGGGTAAAGTGTTCCAACGCATACTCATTGTAGTGAATAGGTGTGTGTCAGTTAATCGGTGCCCAACGTTGTTGCTGCTGGATAACATATTCCGAGATAACTGAAGCTACACAGCCATCTAATGTTCAAACATGCATCGAAGGGGCCGTAACGAGATCTGCAAGACATGATTCTATACCTGTACTGTTAGACATGTATATAATTATAACGAGGAAGTAAATCTAACGGATGACATTTCTTCGTTATAATAAGATCCGTTGAGGCCATACTGCTTTATATATGTTAAACATATCTTCTCGTTAACCTATGAATTTTGGACAATCGTTAAATTTGCGACTCGTTATAATAACATGTCTTACAGTATTCGATGCTCTCTAGCAGGACATTCATCTGCCTCATTTTCTCTGTGCTGCATTGATGAGCGAAACAGCATGTTGTCCTCAGAATGAGTATTGTGTATGACAGGCGTGTATGTAGTGGCAAAGCTCAAATACATGTGCAACATAACAATCAATAACAATCCCCGTGTTTTACAACAGCACAAACCCAGCACCGCAATTCTTAATTTTGGGCTGTGGTGTTCTTAGTATTTCAGGCTGGATGTTCTAGGCTTCCACGCTCTTGGGCGCACGACTTTACTGTGCCGAAGAATATTTTCAGCCAATGAACCCAGTGCTTGGTGGCAGATTAGTGTCATGGAACAGCATTTTGCATGTGGCTTTCACTACATGCACATGTACAACGTTCAATTGATTCGGAAAAATCAGACGAGGACTTTTGCAGTTATGAGCAAGGTCCCCACGAATGGTCATGTCACTTCACAGAATACATGAACTGATAGAGTAGACCGAGGTCCCCTCAGAGAACGCTTGGGGAAGTCGGTTTCAACTGAGGACATGTCCAAAACCATGCTAAGTACTTGAGCTGCTCATGACCCCCACAATTATCAGGCCCGCCGGAACCGGTCTGGTTGGTCAGGTTATCACCGGACCAACTTGTTGGCCACCAACAAATGTTTCCTGCTGTGGAGGACGTGTGTACCCGCCAGATCACAAACAAAGTATAAAAGGCCATGGACCAATCAAAAACTGCTTCCGGTGGTACTGATTATAGTACACTAAGTACAGGTTTAAAAAGCGGCTCCATTTTTGTCATACATCAAACCAACTCTGTCATTGCTATGCTACTCAAAAAGAGTAGTGATGTTTATTCACAAATGAATCACAATGCTATCAGAGAACTTCGATATTCTCCAATTTTAGGGGCACTGCAGTACTATGCAAAAATTAATGCTGCTTGGTCATTGTTATGAAGCAGTCACCTCAGTACAGCAATTAAACAGGCTGATTATGTGAACGAGATTCACGGCAAATCTTCTTCCATCAGTGCTGTTTAGTCTTGAGTGGTCCACTGAGGCAGGAAAACAACCTGTTCGGTCCTTCCATACGAGAAACAGAAATTGAACATGTTCCAGGGTGGAGGTGGCGAGTATCGGCAATGTAATGCACCTTTAGGCCAACACGACCATCATTCCGACATGGATTCTCAAACACCTTCGCTCGTGAGTGTGCCTCAGAGTGGTATTCATCAACAGATGGCAATCCTGTAAAACACATGAAAAGACATAGCAGCAACACAAAGAAACCTAATGTTATAGAAACGAATTCGAAAAACAAAGTCTACTGAACCAAGGTACAACCACACTCCAGGAGGCAAGCAAAAGTGCATAATCCGAAGGTTGCGATGCTTGTATGTATTGTATCAAGAGTACATGAAAACCAGAGTGTGCAGCTTGGGGCCTTTTCTGCTATGGGTGTCTGTCACGGCGAAATTCAGTGATTACATCATATTTGGCCCAGATCTGAGGCGGGAAATGGCGTAGTGCGTACAACTGAGCTGCAGTTGTGCAGAAAGAGACCTGCTTGAATCCTGCTTGTACGCACTACATCACTAAAATGATGTAATCACGGAATTTCGCCGTGACAGCAACCCATCCGAGCTGCACACTCTGGTTTTCATGTACTCTTAATTGTATTTATGGATTCTCGACAGGCCTTAGCCTAAATCGAGGGAGTCTCTGTCATGCCACACTGGATACAACATGCTACCAGAATCACTTTCCCCAGTATTGATGATCTCTTCTTAGGGTGTTATATAAAACACATCTGTAGCCACTTCATCTTGCTCACGAAATCATACATCACCACACAAACGAGCCCTTCGGCTATTATACTTTGGGTGGTGATGTATGATATTGATAATCTATTGATACTAGGGCTGAAACGATAATATCGGTTATCCGTCTAATCGATCATTACAAGGAAACGATTTCGATTACGCGATTCTAAAAAAAAGAAACGTCTGCAAGAATCAAAAAGATGTCATGTACAGCACTACTAGATACTGTACTTTGTCCTTTTCCTCGTTTCTTTTTGTTGGCCATATGTTTTCCAGTAGGGCTGTGAAAAAAATAAAAAAATAAAAAAACTGACTGTCTGCACCTGCACGTGATGTGCCACTGCATTGTGTAGAGTACCCGGTTTATCTGCATGTGTGTATGTACATGTATATGTGTATATGTCAACACGGCATGCTTTGTGCTGGTCTGGCGCGACAATTTCTAGGACACAGTAATTGATATCATAAACGATAATCAAATCGATGCAAGGGTAGGTTAACCGATAGTTGAAATTCAGAAAAGTGTAATCGTTTCACCCCTAATTGATACCATATCCAAGTCTGACTCTCACCGTGAGATCCTGGCAACAATATTACCTGGTACATGACATATTCAGACACTGACATAAGCATCTTTTTGGAACAACACGTGTGCCTATCTGCTAGAGTAATGTGACACACATGCAGAATCAGTCATAGCTAATTTTACCCCTCACTGTTGTATGCGCAGACTCCACTTCGCGGTGTCAAGTACTCTTCTTTCGGTGGGCTACTCCGCTCAGGCGCTTGTTTTAGAGGACTCACATTCATCCTACAAACCTACACGACTTGCATAGTTTTCACTGTCGGCCGAAGTGCATGCATTGCACACATTGCGATTCACTCCCTCCGTACAGGCCAGTACAGAGCTGCCCACCAATTGAGTCTGTTTTGCGTACTCAGACTTCTGATTTTCCGTATCTTGCAGTGTGTTGCGTACTGCCGTGTACATTGCATGCAACTTGCACTACAAAGTTTTTTGACACGCACATGCATGTCGGTGGCTGCATTTGGTAGTGTAAAACATGTGTGACTTGCACTCACGACATTATTTTTTTGTGCTACATGTACATGTTGTCGTGGTACGGCATGCACTCACTTTGGTACAAGACTATTCATCGCTCAGCTTACACTTGCAATGCTTCTACACAGCTGATTGATCCTCTTCGATTTTCTATACCATTTGCTCAAATTCTGTAGTGCGGACAAGGAGTGATTTTCCGTACAAATACAGAAAAATGTGGAGGGCTGGTACTTGGTAGCACTGCTAGTATGGTAGTGCCAGGCTAAGCTGGCTGGAAGATCAGATACTTTTTTGGTTCTTTCAGTCATTTTCACGACCTATATTTTCTTTATCATGATCCCCGGGGTGTGACGTTCTTACGAATGCAGAAACTCAGTTTTTCTAACCGAGTCTCACGTGCACTGTGAATTTGTTCTTCTTTTATTCACACTGCCATGTATCGATTCATCGCTTCTTCCAACCCGAGATCCTGTGCAACAGCGATTTAAAGGTTGGCTTTATCAAATAGTGATCAGAGAGAGAGGGAGGATCAGTTGTGGCTGCTGTGACAGCTGCATAGAGTGTAGATTGGTGCAAACATCATTGCCCAGCAGAACCGTATTCATAGGGACCTGCGTTTAGCATTTGGAAGCTATTTTTTAGAATTTTTACAGGCCCAATAAGCCTGAAGAAAAGAACACCTAACTTCGACTGTCCTAACGTTATCGAACGCACTGCCAAAGTAAAAACAACATTTGAAATGCAAACTCGATTGTGCATGCATGGAGGGCATGGGGAAGAGACGGAGAGGGTGAAAGTGAAGGAAATTTGTTCCGAAATCAAGAGAATCCGAGGAACCCTTGCTGCATTCTTCAGTACGATAACGTCAGTGGGTGCATCTCAGATGTGTTGTTTGCCCAGACATACAAGTAGCACTAACCTGAGCATGAGAGCTGCTTGTCATCATCGTGGTCAGGAAAACGAAAGGACGAACGTAGAAGATTGCTGACCATGACGAACAACAGTGCATATCCAGACGACAGACGGCTTGCCAGAATCAGTCTGGTGCATCTTCAGGAATCTTCTTTCCTAATCGCATTCAGCAGTCAGCTTCGAGGTCAAGAACGCGATGATTTTTCAGAAGGAATAATTTTCAAAATTTTTTAAATTTTGGAGAAGAAGCTTCCTTTCTAAAAAAAAGCGTTCCTTGCTTTCACGCAAGGTGCCTTGCCGGACATGTCGTCGACAGCACAGTGTCGGCACATCCACGTTTGTAGGCTGCAGACCCGGCAGACGTTTTGATCAGCCAGGCCTGGTGGTGAGATTTTGGACCCGGGAGTACTAAAAACTGCTCGCAGGCCAGGGTGCTCAGTTTCGCTCTACCCGATCGAGTAAGGCTTCCAGAAAGGCCCTCAGGTGCGCGGCCTGCGGTGCCATAATATACCTCCGTTTCACTACTGCCTAGTACTGAATCCTACCTGACTTCTTGACACGACTCAAACTTGCCAAAATCACTAAGGGCCGGGTTCCACTGCGGCTCCGCTGCTCCGCTGCTCGTCTTTCGCGACTTGAAACGTCATGATTACCATAGTGACCGCGGCTCGAGCTGTAGCAGGCCGGCGAAGGACAGGCGAAGGACTAAAGGGACCGTCACTTAATTTTTGCCGACTACCCGCCAAAAAAATCTTTTCGTTTCACGTGTCAGACACGTCCGCGAGCGCGCGCGTACGTACGACTCGACTCGCTACCTTTCACAAGCAATCTGTTCACGCCACATGGCTGGATAGCGCGTACATGCAAACATGATTGTCAGTTTGAAGACTTGCAAAATTAATTTTACAAGTCCAGGCGTTAGGCGCTAGGCCTATTATTATTATTATTATTATTAACTTTTATTTTACTAGGGTGTTTCCCACAGACCTATGGTCTTCTTACGGGAGCCCCTAGGAAGGTTATGCATGAGCGAATAAATGAATGCCTAGGCGCACAGAATGCGTAATGCTAATGGCAGCTGACTTTATTTTCGGAGAAACACTACTCATTGTAGTAAAAAGTAACAATGAATAGCGATATCATCTAGGAAGGATCGCTACCCTAACGCGAAGGAAAGGCCTTGTGCGGCTGCTCTACGAAGTGTTGAAGAATGACTCAAAGTTAGTTGGTGGACGAACAACTCGCAGTGGTGCCGGAAAACTTGGCCCCCAACGATGGTGTTTGGTGAATCATCAAGCATAATGTCTTGTAGCAGTGTTCACCGAGGAAGGAGAACGCTCTAGCCGCTGCTGTTGTCCGTTTCATCCACGTTGGGCGTTAGCTGCACCGCGCCTATTGTGTTTTAGTATTCCATGGACGCACACTAGCGTTCTCAGCGATTGTGGAGCCACAACATATCTTCATGCAGCGTTGCACTGTCCAAGGCAAGAGCAGAAACGTCAGCAGTGACCCATCATCATACATGTAGATTTGGAGTATACACACCATGCGCCAATGGGCCTTGGCGCAACAGCGGCAGCTCTACGGGTTGTGCAAGTGAGAAACATTTGTTTCGACTGTTGGTGGACTAACAAATCATCGGCGCCAAAAAACGTGGCCTGCGCCGATGGTGTTTGAAACATCGAGGGCTCCGGAAGCAGCTGAGCCAGATCAGCCAGTCTTGCCAACTCTTTGTTGACGGACGCCGTGCTGCAGCTAGCAGCACTGGCACCAGCCGGAAATATTTTTCCGCCGATACCCGGTACTTCCAGTTCTGTCAAGGGCATGCCTGGAATCCATTGCCAGGTGATGACTTTTTTACTTTTTGTGTTATTTTGCTGCCGAGTTGTTCAGAACTTTTCAGCCCCGATCTGTCCATGTCTACATGTCGGCCATCCGCAAACTTCATGTGGAAGTTGGCTTTATCTTCCCGTCGGGCCCAATGACTCTCCTCGCAAGGTTCCTGTCGGGCATCAACAGGTCATCATCGACACAGCGTCATCGCCTGCTGATAACCACTCAACTTCTCAGGGAGATTAGCCGGCATGTTGCCTTTCCACGGATGTGGCACCTGCATGACAAGGCCATGCTAAGGGCAAACTGACTGCTTGATTTTAGCTTTACATTACCGCAGTCAGTCCAGCACAATACGCCAATCGTATTTCACTATTACTCGCGTGTCATAATTACTCGCGTATCATAATTGGGGATATGGGCTGCTCCGCCCTAGATCCCTGATATGCCAACTAGACGAAAAGTGTGTTCTGAGCCTGTATCGCGTATAATAGGCTCATCGTAAAATAAATAATGAAAGTCTTAAAAATCAGGGTTCACGTGACACTCGGGTTCCAGCCAAGTTTTCCGCTTCCGCAGGAACGCTACCCCCCCCCCCCCCCCCCCTCTTGAATCATAGTATAGTGGACTTTGCGATGAACAGATTATGAAACTCCCTGCAGATTTACTACAGTCATCTCTGGTGACTGGTCTAGGGGCACCATGGAAGCTGTGACTGGTTGCCAAGTTTAGTTTTGTGACTGATCATAGGGCATTTGTGACTACTTCGAAGCATAACTGCTCACAGAGCCCTGATTGATCACAGAGTCTTACTGTTGTGAATATTAAAATCGAGTGAGAAGTCAAGCAGCCACGGGGCGCTGGCCTTGCAGCTGTGAGTATGCATACGGTACATATTCACATGACTCTGTATGCTGGACACTGCTGGTCCATTGTTGCAGTGTGTAAGTGAACTGCAGAACCTATTCCGTGATGAAACACCTACTCTTGAAAGACTGAATGTTTGAGCTAATAGTCTTTTACTTCACTCTCATGCTGCTCATATAATTATACCATACGCCAGAAGACCCTAAGTTAGTTCTAAGATTTTGTGGACCATGTGACCATGTGGTACTTTCACTCTACAGCCAAGTCAACCCACTTCGTCAACACACAGGGTTTTCCTCAGACACAAGCGAATGGTTTACTCCACTCTGGAGAAGAACACAGTTTGCTCTCTCGAACACCAACCGCATAATGACTACGGAATGTACGAAGTGCAACAACTGCTAGAATATTGAACTGTCGTCCACACAAAACAAATAAAGACAACTGAAAACCAAAACACATGCAACTGCCAACATGCATGTAACAGCGACTGCAAGCCAGAACTACAGACTCCGCGCAGGGAGGAACAGGGGAAACAGAGGTAACGCTTCCGACTCCGAGAGCTTCGAATAGCAGCGGACAAAACAATACATCAACCTTACGTGTCACCTTGCGCTACCGCAAACGAACACCTATGGATGCACAGTGCAGCACAGACTCAGTGCATGCACGGTGTAATAACTGGAGTACATGTAAACCGACAACGGTCACCTTGCACCCTATGCAGTAAGTTACATAGGCTTGACGTGAAAGGTAACGCGGGCGAGCGCGAGTCGTACGCGCTCGCGGACGTGCCTGACACGTGAAACGAAAAGATTTTTTTGGCGGGTAGTCGGCAAAAATTAAGTGACGGTCCCTTTAGTCCTTCGCGTTCGGCGAAGGACTAAAGGGACCGATTCAGGGCAGATCGTGACATGATGGTGACTCTGATTGGGGACCCATGCGAGAACACACATTACACTTGCGGGTGGCCTTGCACTGAGTTGACCGGTGCCCTGTGCGCAAACACACAAAGCAACGCTTCTGTTCAATCAGTTATTCTTTCCGCTGTGCTACTGTTGTGTATTTCGCGCAGTCACCACACACCATGCTTGATGTTTCAAGCACCATCGGCGCAGGCCACGTTTTTCGGCACCGACGATTTGTTCGTCCACCAAAAGTCGAAACAAATGTTTCTCACTTGAACACTCCGTAGAGCTGCCGCTGTTGTGCCAAGGCCCATTGGCGCATGGTGTGTATACTCCAAATCTACATGTATGATGATGGGTCACTGCTGACGTTTCTGCTCTTGGACAGTGCAACGCCGCATGAAGATATGTTGTGGCTCCACAATCGCTGAGAACGCTAGTGTGCGTCCATGGAATACTAAAACACAATAGGCGCGGCGCAGTTAACGCCCACTTGGATGAATCGGAGTGGTGGCGAGTGCATTCTCCTTCCTCGGTCAACACTGCTGGTCACCCTGTTTGATGATCCACCAAACACCATCGGTGCAGGCCGCGTTTTTCGGAACCAGCCATTTATTCGTCCACCAACAATTGAAATTAATGTTTCTCACTTGAACACTCTGTAGAGCTGTCGCTGTCGTGACAAGGCCGTGTATACTCCAAATCTACATGTAGGATGAAGAGTAACAGTTACTGCTGATAATGAAGTTTGCGCTCGTGGACAATACAACGCTGTGTGAAGTAAATTGTGGCTCCACAATCGCTCTGAATGCTAATTGTGTCCATGGAATACTAAAACACAATAGGCGCGGTGCAGCTAACGCCCAACGTGGATGAAACGGACAACAGCAGCGGCTAGAGCGTTCTCCTTCCTCGGTGAACACTGCTACAAGACATTATGCTTGATGATTCACCAAACACCATCGGTGGGGGCCAAGTTTTCCGGCGCCAGCGAGTTGTTCGTCCACCAACTAACTTTGATGAGTCTTTCTTCAACACTTCGTAGAGCAGCCGCGCAAGGCCTTTCCTTTGCGTTAGGGTAGCGATCCTTCCTAGATGATGTCGCTATTCATTGTTACTTTTTACTACAATGAGTAGTGTTTCTCCGAAAATAAAGTCAGCTGCCTGAGCATCATTACTGACATTATATTAGCCTTTGGCATTAGTACTGCCTAGGCCTAGCGCCTCGCGCCTAGCGCCTGGACTTGTAAAAAAATTGATTTTGCAAGTCTTCAATCATGTCTGCATGTACGCGCTATCCAATCCAGCCATGTGGCGTGAACTAGCTTGACGTGAAAGGTAGCGCGGCCGGCCGGGCGGGAGTCGTACGCGCTCGCGGACGTGTCTAGTCTAGTCTGGCACGTGAAACGAAAAGATTTTTTTGGCGGGTAGTCGGCAAAAATTAAGTGACGGTCCCTTTAGTCCTATAGCAGCGAGTCCGCGGCTCACCGCGAGCTTTTGCTACGATTCTTGAGCAAAAACTGCGAGCCGCGGTCGCGGCTCGACCTGTTTCCCGTACTTTGCGTTGTTTTGTACGCGATAATTTTAAAATTCAAATTTTAATGCGTTACGCAGGCCAGATGACGAGGATCTTTTTGATTTCGCGCGGGTA